AGGAATTTAGCAACCACACACTGCAGTCCCTGGGGTGAGTTCTAACTCCTTTTGTGCTCCCCAAACAAGGCTCTCTGCCTAGTTTGCTGGATGAGGTGATGTTTGGCTTCACAACCAGAGAGGTTGGCATCTCCTCATGATGCAACAACCAAGCAGGAGGGGGAAGCAGGTAGTCCTTCCCAGAGGGATTATTCTCCACAGGTGTCCTTGATTTTCCTCCCCATTTTCTTCTCAGTTATTTCAAGATAAAAATATTAATAAAAACAAGCCAGAAAAAAACCCAGTAACCTTTAATTTCTTGTAGTTCACCTAGGCCCACTCTCTGTACCCAGGAGGGGGAATTTGTGGAGCCGGAGAACACACCAAGTGCCCCAAATCCCTTTTTTCCCAGCAAGTAATGCCTGTTCCCTCTCCAGACACAGGCTAGGGTTGAGCAAACAGTAGCAATGCTCTTTGAGCAGAGCTGAAAACTTTCATTGCTGTCTGTGCCCTCTGCCCAACCCTCTTTCTGTCAAGCTATTTGCATGAGTGCACAGTTCTGAGCCAAGTGTCCTTCACCTCTGGCTGCTTTAGGTTGCCCAAGACCGAAAGTGAAAGCTCTCTGGGAGCTGCTGGGCCCAGTGCTGGGATAAATCTCTCCCAGGGGCTTTCAGAAGTGCTGTAAGAGTTGGACTAAACTCCATGTGGAGCCAGTCAGGAAAGGCACCAATATGGTCAGAGGGCTGGAGCAGCTCTGCTGCGAGGACAGGCTGAGAGAGCTGGGGCTGTTCAGCCTGGAGAAGAGAAGGTTGTGTGGAGACCTCAGAGCAACCTGCCAGGAGCTGAAGGGGCTCCAGGGAAGCTGCAGAGGACTCTTGGTTAGGAACTGCAGTGACAGGACAAGGAGGAATGGGGAGAAATTGAAAGAGGAAATTGAGATTAGATTATTAGGGAGAGTTTTTTCCCTGTGAGGGTGGTGAGACACTGGCACAGGTTGTCCAGAGCAGCTGTGGCTGCTCCATCCCTGGGAATGTTCCAGGCCTGGTTGGACAGGGCTTGGAGCTACCTGGGCTGGTGGGAGATGTCCCTGCCCATGGCAGGGGTGGGACTGGATGAGCTTTAAGGTCCTACCAACCCAAACCAGTGTGGGATTCCATGATTCTGTGATAACTTCCATATTTTGGTGCCTAGTGGGTACCAAGTGATGTGGCAATTTTGCCATAACATCCCAGAGAGGAGGATGAAGCTCTGCCTTCAGCCCCAGCTCTTACTGGGAGGTGCATCTGCCTCTGGTTTGTGTGAGCAGGAACCAGTGAGCTCTGCAGCCAGAGCAGCAATATCCATTCCCTGTCTGAGAGCACTAGGAAAGGAGAAGAACCAAAATCTGCTGCAGGCAGCAGAGTTCAAGCTTTGGAAAGAAGTTGGCATCAAAACCAGAGCCAATGAGGATGTCAACACGTTTTACTCCTGGATTGAACAAACATGTCCTCCCTCCCCAAGCTGTTGATCAGCATTTTTGCCCTCTTTCCTCCACAGCCTCGTGGCCTTCACAGTTAGCTCCTGCACAAATAAATATGGAAATGAAGGGTTTGTTTCTTTAAACAGCTCAACTGGCTCTACATGGCACCAAGCAACTCAGGCAGCTGCAAGAGGAAACCACCAAACCCACCACACCTCTCTGCTGCTCTCACCAGTGAGAAGAACTGGGGAGAAAATCAAGTGAGACAGTTACTTCTAACAGAAACCTCAGCAATTACTCACTAGGATGTTCCTGATTTGCAAACCCTCATCTTGGTTTAATGAGAACTAACTCTATTTCCTACTTATTCTCTTCTTTTTTTCCCCTCTAATAGTTACTCTACAACCTGCAGCTAAGCCTGGCTGTCCTGCCCATGGTGAGGTGCTGCTGGGGACCAGGACTGCACAGGGCTGAGCACTGGGAGTCACAGTTTGGCCCTGGGGGAGCATGGTTGGGAAGGAATTCCCAGCCTGGTGCCAGCTCTGTGCAAAGAGTTTTCCAGTGCAATGATGTCCTGAGGAAAAAAAAGTGTAGAACTGGAGCTCAGTGCTGCCCACACAGCTCAGGAGTCCTAGGTGGGCATATCCAGCTGGGTCCAGCCTGCTCTGCCCTTGGATGGGGCACATGTCCAACGTGGTGCTGCCAGCACTGTGGCTGCTCCCAGCTCTGCTCCTGCATTCCCAGCGTGGACCTCAGGAGTCTCTTCGCTGCTTCTTCTGCTCGTGGTACTCCTTTATTTTCTGCTGGAAATAAGCTGTTGAGGAGGAAAGGTCATTAGTGAGTGGTGGAATTTGGGGTGGGGGACACAGGGCTGCACTGCTCGAGGTCTGGGGAGGGTGTGAGTCCCAGGAGCCAAATTGTGCTGGATTATGGACATTGACCCAGGGGGGAGCCAGGTGAAGTGTTTGAAGTGTTCCAGGCCAGGCTGGACAGGGCTTGGAGCAACTAAGCTAGTGGAAAGTGTCCCTGCCCAAGGCAGGAGGTGGCACTGGGTGGTCTTGAAGGTCCCTTCAATCCCAAACCATTCCAGGATTCTGGAGCCTCTCTGCCCTGGAGCCAGGCTGGGAGAGCTGGGGATGCCCAGCCTGGGGAAGAGAAGCTCTAGGGAGACCTCAGTGCCCCTTCCAGTGCCTAAAGGGGCTCCAAGAGAGCTGCAGAGGGACTTGGGACAAAGCATGGAGGGACAGGACACAGGGAATGGCCTCACACTGCCAGAGGGCAGGGACAGATGGGATATTGGAAAGAAATTCCTCCCTGTGAAGGTGGTAAGGCCCTGGCACAGGTTGCCCAGAGCAGCTGTGGCTGTTCCATCCCTGGGAGTGTTCCAGGCCAGGCTGGACAGGGCTTGGAGCAACCTGGGCTGGTAGAAGGTGTCCCTGCCCATGGCATCTTTAAGGTCCTTCCAACCCAAACCAATCTGGGATTCCATGATTCTAAGCAATGTCAGTGGTTGCAATGCCAATCCCTCTCACCCACACAAAATGGGCTTTATTATGCTGGGTTAGCCTGAGATTTTAACCAATGTGTTCACTCCTGTTCAGCTTTGTGCTTCCTCTCCCTTCCAACCCAAACCAATCTGGGATTCCATGATTCTAAGCAATGTCAGTGGTTGCAATGCCAATCCCTCTCACCCACACAAAATGGGCTTTATTATGCTGGGTTAGCCTGAGATTTTAACCAATGTGTTCACTCCTGTTCAGCTTTGTGCTTCCTCTCCCACCAGGAAGGAGAAAGCAGGA